AACCTTTAGCTAAAGTTAGCTACACGGGTTAGCTGCTAACGGCTCTTATCACAAGCGGAGTGACAGAAACAGAAACGTCTGCTCTAAAACACATATGTTGTGTATTTCATGCTTGTGCACACTTTTACTTACAGGCAAATATTTTCCAAGGCAAAAGCATGTATGAACAATTTAGCGATGCCGTGAAGCTCCGTTGTGCTTGTGATAGCCGTTACAAGTGGAACTCTCTTCGCGGAGACGACGGAGAATCAAGGATAGTTCACAATGTGTTGGTAACATGGCTCACTCTGCCGCAAATTCAAAACCACATACAACGCACAGAGCGCTCACTGACAGATTTTCAAAGAACTACAAAAAACAACTTTTTAACTTTTTAATCCTACTTTTTAACTTATTTGACTTGTGTTTTTAATCAACTTACACACATCAACTTCAAAGACAGCACACACAGTAACTTGTGCAGTAGCAATCGGTGCAGACAGAAGTGGCATCACATCAGCTAGTGGTCATCATACACTCGCATAAATGCAACCACATGAAATTGTAACTCTCAAAAAAAAGAAAAGGTTGTATATGGGACCACATCATTGCCGACAGTCAAGCAGGATTTTGAAGGTGTGTGTGGTGATAATTTTCCTTTGGGTTATTTGTAATTAGCAAGGTGGGAAATACTGTATAAACTGCTTGTAAATGGGAGCTGTTTTTGACATCTGCTGTTAATGAACCCCTCTGGTCTAGGATGAAGATTTTCTCCTGAGGAAAGACAAGGCTGCTCGGGCAGTTCTGGATGTGTTGGTGAGTTGCCACGTGTACACTATATAAATGATGTGTCAACAAAGTAAATGCATAATAGTTTTCTAAATGAACACTGGTGCTTTCCAGGATGTATACAAACCACAGAGGAAGTACAGGAGGCAGGGGGACACAGGGGAGCTGCTGGATGAGGAATCCAGGGTTCACTCCACTCTGTTGGAATATGGCAGGTGAGATTCACAACAGGTGTTTGTGTGTGTGAGTGTGTTGTGAGGATCCATTTGACTCCAGATAACAAAGTTGTGAGGGCCTAGACTAGTTCTCAAAACTTTAAAGGATAACATGAGAGTGAAGACTTAGTTTTATTGTTTAGGGTAGAATTAGATTAAGGTTATGGCAAGTGGCTAGGGAATGCATTGTGAAAACTCAGATAGCGTATGTGTGTGTGTGTATACGCACATTCTGTCATGTTTACTGTCATTTATCTTTTGTCAAAGGGGCTTCAAGTAATCATTGTCATTTGTTTTTATTAACATGTTGACATCGGTATACACAAATAATAGATGACACATGCTGTAATGTCATATCACTGTCTAGGACCTAAGTAAGAAAGTTTGTTTATATAGCACCTTTCACAGCACAAAGTTACAAAGTGCTTTATAGAGAGAATCAACATAAGCACTGAAAAACAACAAAAAGGGAAAATAAAAAACAAACAATAGTAGATTCAGGATAAATAGATAAATAGTCATATTAAAAGAAATAAAACCGTGTGTAATGGAATAACAACAGACAATGTGTTGTTTTCTTAGTTGAGTGCACTAGCCCTGTACATTTCTAGCTTGGGTGGTGTTTTGCCGTCACTGCCACTACCTCATCTTTGTATTAGCGGTATTAAAGCTCATGGTTTGTGGAAATTATATTAGTAATAGAAAAAGCACTGAAAGCAGAGATTAAACTTAATGTAGTGTAAGTTTAAACTGAGTTCACATATAATATCAAAGCCTTTTTTTTCTTTTTGTGTAACAGCAATCAGCAAATTATGCTCAAAGCTGAGCTATCCTGAGAATCAGAGTTATGCACCATTCAACTTCTTTTAGCATACATTCTGTTGCTGTTTGAACTAGGGCTAAACAATTTGTTGATTTCAAATGAAAATTGCCATTTGAAATAATGCCATTAGTAAATGGCAAAACTGGTATATTAGGATATATGTTCTGAAGCAGACTGACCTCATGACAGTCTTGTTTTTGATGGTGTCTCATGTGGCAGTGCCCAACAAATGTTTTTATATGTATTAGAAAGTGAATATTGCTATTGATTTTTTTTATATGAAAAAAATTGCCTAACGTCAAATTGCAATATCTGTCAGAGAAATCACAACTAGATATTTCCTCCAATCACCTGTCTGACACATTGTGCTTTGATCTATCTCCACCCATGTACTAGAATGTCAGGTTTCATCCTGTAAGTACTCTGCTGCTCACAGCACTGTGTTTTGTGGCTGAACATTTTGGTTAGAGAATGTAAACAGTACTGACATCATTTAAGCATGATGGATGTAGACTGTGGTGCTGCTGCGATGCCGTTTTGTATGAGTTAATTTACTTACTCTTACAGTCCTGCCCTAACGGAAATGTTTGTCCTCATGCTGGATTGCTGTTGTTTGGAGGGCTGATGTTTAAATATGGCATGTGTATTTCAACATTGGTTTTGGTAGGGAAAAATTAATGCTTGCTTTTATTACAATTTGGTAATGTCACTTGTGCTTTTTGTGTTTCCCCAGACGATATGGATTCAGCAAGCAATCCAAACATGACAAGGTAGGTATTCCAATGATTTGGCTTTCACAGATTAGTAGTTTTGTTTTACTCAATAATTGACTTTGAAGAAAGCATTTTATCAGTTATTAGGTTAATACAGTAAGATACACGACTGGGTGCCCCGCCCTCATCCCAAACAGACAGACAGATATTTATGTTATTAGGGAGAAATTGCCCTGATTTTCGACAAGTGTGTTTTATAGGGGATGGCAAGGACATTTGTAAAAAAAAAAAGTTGCATTATGCCTAAAGTTTTTTTAGAGGGAGCTGTGAGAAATCTGGTAAATGTGTTGTCACCTAACCTCATTGGTTGACTCTGACAGCCAAACGTGTGAAAAGTAGAGAGATCTGTTTGTGCAGAGTTAGAAAAAAGTGAGCTCACCAGACCTCTGCAGGTTTCAGGCTACATGAGTCAATACTATCATAAGTACGCCCAAATGTGTACCACCATACAGTACAAGCACTTCCAGTTCTTCAGGTAATATATTAAAAACAAAATTACAATTTCTGGATCCATTTCAGTCAAAAAAATTTGGTAAAATTATGTCTTCTTACCCTCATCCTCGGGATTAAAGTTTGGCAGTCCTGGTTGCTTGGCAACAGAAGCAACACTACGGGACGTGACAACACAAACAAGAAGTCCATCGAGGGCTGGACTGTCTCATTTAACAAACGCTCAGATGCAGCCTTTGCGTCTTTTGAAGGACCCATACTTTGAAGGATGCAAAGGCTCCATCCTTCGAAGGATTGATTTTCTGCATTGCATGTTAGCACTTACTGCTCCTTTCTCTTCCTTTGCTTTTCTTTCTGTCTGTATAATGTCCCCTTCCTCTAGGTAGATCAAGGGAATGCTCTGCTTGTCAATGGCTCTCAAGCAGCACCCTCTGGGACTGTGGAGATGTCAGAGGATGACAACCTGCAGGCAGCAGAGGAGGTGAGCACTTTATACGATGCGAATGTTATACATAGAAAGCAGAAATAAACCTATGAGACGTAAAGTCAAGCAGGAGAAATAGGTAAGGACAGAGAAGAAAATGTCATACAAGTATTCAAAGTATCAGTTTCTATGATTGTGATTTAAAATATTGATTGTGATTAAAAATTACATTATTTTGCTTACTTAAAAAACAAGAGAAAGAAATTGTGCTAGTGAAGTAGCTTTGGTGAGTATTTACAAATCTCAGCAAATCATGTGCAAACTGTGAGTTTGTCTTTATAAAAAGAAGCAGTTGTCATGTTATTATTTTGGAATAAATGCAGTTAGTATAACTACAAATGGTTTATTTAATTAGGCATTTACTTGTAGCTATTGCTACTATTGGACTATGATCCCCAAATACACTTCACACTTAAACCATAACTTAACTTTCCTTGTTTTTGTTTGTTTGTTTTGTGTTGTTTTTCATTTAGATGCGAATCAAAACCCTGATGACTAGCATGGCTGCCATGGCAAATGAAGAGGTAGGCCAGTTGTGCTCTTTTGAGGGCTTCTGTATGCCAGCAGCTCCAACACACTGAGACATCTCTGTAGTTGATCATCTCATGTCCGTTACGAGAGACACAGTCTTTAAATCAAACTTTTTTCATGGTGTATCATTCATTTAGCTGACCAGTTCAATAGTTTTGATCAAGGACTTTTAACGTAATAATAATAATAATAATAATAATAATAATAAACTTTATTTGTACAGCACCTTTAAGAACAGAATTCACAAAATAACAGTGAAAAGAAACATTGTGGCATGTAATAATTTGACCAAGCGGGAGCATATGAATAGAAAATAAAATTGGACCTAAAATTGAATCTTGCGGTACACCATAGGTAATGAGGAGGAGGAGTGATTACCTATGGTGACCAAAAAGGTACTGTTTAAAAGGTAGGAATAAAACCAATCAAGTGCAGCATCTCTGACACCAACCCAAGATCTAAGATGGTCGATTAAAATGGTGTGGTCTACTGTGTTAAAGGATGCGCTTAGGTCTAAAAGAATTCAAATTGAGCTCTCTCCTCTGTCAGCAGGTAAAAGTGCGTCGTTTCTAACCTTGAGGGGGCAGTTTCTGTGCTGTGACGAGCTCTAAAACCAGATTTAAATTTTTCAAAGATATTTTAGGGCTTGGAACCTATTTCCTGGCAGCTGTTGATAGAACACTTGTGGGAATTTTGGCCAAAGCTGTGTCTGAAATCATCCATTCACTCCCTACTCCTTACACCCTATCTGGGGACCACTATATAGTGAACTATGTAGGGAGCACCTCGGCAAAGCAACATTTCGGACACTACTCTAGCTATTAATCACGTCGCTGACTAGTCGTGATTTATGCCGTAGCAGCGTAGTACAAACACATCAAGTTGACAGTTTATTGCATAGCTAAGAAACTTAACAGAACATAAACAGGAAATGCCTTACATTTTATTGACAAGTTTTCGTACTCTTGTTCATCTAGTTTGCATTTCCTTTCATGCAATGCATGATGGTCCAGATTGCTTGGTCAGTGACCATTGACTGTACACTACTTTTCACGGTGCATTGTGGGATATTTTGAGAGCACTATATAGGGTGTAATCTTTGTAACTTAACATTCAGACAGCACTACAAAATGGCGAACATCCTATATAGTGCACTATGCAGGTATCGTGGGTGATTTCAGACACAGCCCAAGATACCGTTGGTTTTCTGGGAATGTGTCAACAATGTTATCTGTATTTTCAAAACTAGGGCAAAAATACATGTCTCTGAAATCTCCCACTCTGACATGCTTGTGTGCTTTGTGTAGGGTAAGCTGACAGCGAGTGCAGTGGGTCACATAGTGGGACTGCAGTCTGAGGAGATCAAACAGATTGCCTCAGAGTATGCCGAGAAGGTAAGCAACAGTCAGCTAATGATGTTATTTTTGCTTAAAGATGCAGTAGAAATGATCTTTTCCACATTTCTTTCCTTGCTTCTTTAGAGCACTGAGATGCTGCAGCTACTACTGAATTACTGTCTTGTTAAAGACAGGATGTAATCTGTGTTCCCATACAGCAGAATCCCTGTTAAGCTGTTATTTTAATTTTTTTCTCTTTCTGTTGACAGACAACAAAATAAGTGCGAAATAGTGACCAAAAAGCAGCTCGTTACTATTAAATATTAGCCAGTAGTCACTTCATAGCCATTTCATAGCCAGTGCTCTGCACTGCTGAAATACAGCTTTTAAAGCCACAACACTATTTGACAAACTCACCACACACGAGTTACACTAACAGCTGTACAGTAAATTTGGTGAAATATCACTGAATAAATGTAAGAAACAACAAAAGCCCCTTTCAGACATGCAACGAGGATCATTGCAGGGTTATTCAATCTGGTAAAGTGACAGTATTCTGTCATTTGGACCCTTTCACATAAAGCTCACTTATCAGTTCATGTTCCTCACAGTTGCATTCACACATGCCAGCCACATTGCCAGAGCGCGCTGCAATAAGCCCACGATATTTGCCATCACGTGAGACTGATTAATACAGCAAGAAAAGTAGAAAACATTGGCCGTTTTTCTGTACCAAGAACTCAAGTATGGACAAATCTGCATATTGAGAAACTTCCACATCTGAGGTGAACAGAAGTCCACAGCTGCTGTTAGAACCCGAATGGTTATTTCTCTGTCAGGATAATATATAGTTTTTTGTTTGTTTGGTTTTAGATTGATTTTCAAAATATAACAAGACAAACAAAAGCAAACGGAAAAACAACAGCAACAAACTCAGATCACAGACAGACTTTAACAGATTTACATGCTTGCATATTTATATAAAAGGAGACTCGGGTAATACATTGAGTTAAATGGGAAAAACAAATGTTTGCATTTTATAAAGATTTGCTTCATATTTACACTGAACAAAAACACTTTTGTTTTTTGCTCCCATTTTTCATGAGCTGAACTCAAAGATCTAAGATTTTATACACAGAAGACCTATTTATCTCAAATATTGTTCACAAATTTGTCTAGATTCGTGATAATGAGAACTTCTCCTTTGCTGAGATAATCCATCCACCTCACAGGTGTAGCATATCAAGATCCTGATCAGACAGTGATTATTGCACAGGTGTGCCTTAGGCTCGTGTCACTTTTGTATAACGGCTAAACTAGCTGTTGTTGAACTGTAACGAGGGCAGATTCAGCAACTGCATAGCCTATTTCTCACATCAAATGTTTTCAGAAATACTTCTCGCTAGACAATTTCCATAACAAAAGCAATAGCGTGCAGTCGAGACACCATGTTGGTCCACCACTTCTGCAGGACTGGCGTCCGCTGAATGGGAAGGTGGCTGTCATGTGATCACCCAGTCTGGGTCAGCAGTTCTCCTCCCCGACTGTACAGAGCCTGGGCAAATCCCTGCCTCCCCTTTCTGAGGGATTGAACGGTTTTCCAGAACTTCCTTGAGGCCAACCGAAAGTCCTTCTCCATAACCTCCCCGAACTCCTCCCACACCTTAATTTTTGCTTCCACAACTGCAGCCCTTTTGGCCGTCTGCTGCTCACCACTGGTGTCCCGCCAGCGGGTTTTGGGGTTGCCGCCACAACAGGCACCAGTCACCTTCTGGCCACAGCTCCTAACGGCCACTTCTGCGATTTGAACATAGCCCACTCTGACTCCATGTCCCCAACCTCCCCCGAGATGCAGGAAAAACTCTTCCGGAGTGGGGAATTGAAAACCCCACAGACATTCCCAGTTCACCCTCACTACGCATTTGGGTTTTTCCAGGTCTGTCTAGCAGCCTTCCCCGCCATCGGATCCAACTCACCACTAGGTGGTAATCAGTTGCACAGAAGTCCAATAACAATACACCGCTTGGGTTCAGATCGGACAGGCCATTGGGCTCCTTCCCCACCAGTGAGGTGACGTTCTGCGTCCCCGGAGCTAGTCTACGTCACCAGGGGGCGATACGCCCGGACACCCACTCCTGCCTAATGCCTGGTGGACATAGCACCTGACCATCTTAGTGATATTTTGAGCTGAAAATGAAGACTTATTCGAAGGACATGTGAAACTTTCATTTATTTGCTGAAGGGGCACTACATGGAACCTTTAATTAATGCAGGTTAATCTAATAAAAAGTAGAATAAGAGGAGTCTACAATTCTACAGTTTCATTCAGTAGACAGCTTTTATCCAAAGCTACATACATCTTAGAGTTGATCCAACACAAGCAAGGATCTAGTCAGGAAAAAAACACCTGGAAAAATGCCATAGAAGTCATTCAAGTGGATTCATTTCAAAGTGCACTGGTTACTACTGAAATTTCAGAAAGTGGTGGCCCGACACTTTGATCAAACCCTGATGCTTCTGTAAGTTTTGAATAACCTTTCCTTGTCATAATAAACGTGTCTCCCATATGTCCCTGCAGCAGTTGGAGCTTTCCTCAGAGGAGCGGTCTGAGCGCTACGGCCCGCTTCAGCAGCATCGCAGGGCAGTCGCCTCACTCAACAAGCAGATCCAGCAGAAAACTAAACAGCTGGAGGAGGTCAGTGATCGATCTGTGATCGAATCTGAAGTCCACTTCTGCCATGCTGTCTCCTCCACCCTGCCCAACACCTAATTACAACAGAGTCAGTGGAAACCACTTGTGTTGGTAACACGGGTGTAGAAAGTAGATAGTAAAATTAGTTTAAGAAATTAATTAATTAATTAATTAATTAAAATGTATATCAGAAGGCACAGTATGTTTCCCAGAGTACACAATACATCCATCCATCCATTATCTATACACCGCTTAATCCTCACTAGGGTCGCGGAGGGGCTGGAGCCTATCCCAGCTGACTCAGGGTGAAGGCAGGGGACACCCTGGACAGGTCGCCAGTCTATCGCAGGGCTACACTTAGAGACAGACAACCAAGCACATTCACATTGACACCTACAGACAATTTAGAATCACCAATTGACCTCAACATGTTTTTGGACTTGTGAGAGGAAGCCAGAGAACCAGGAGAGAACCCACACTGCATGGGGAGAACATGCAAACTCCACGCAGAAAGATCCCGGTGGCCCCACCGGTACGCAAACCGGTGATGCACAATACGTATATTGTACAAATTATAGCTTCGGTATAAGGATGGATGGATAAGCAAATGACCAGATGCATTGTGCTCAGCTCTAAAATTGCATATGAAGTGCGTTGAAATTGGAAACTATTAATAACATCAACGAACTATGGCATAGTGGGAAAAAAAGGGATATCAGAGCTCCTGGGTCTGTTTGCACAATCAAAGAAAAAGCGGCAGAACTGTTTGTGAAAAATGTGTTGCCTTCACCGCTAACACATGACAACAAAATAAGTCAGTGTGTCACAACTGAATCAAAACACGAGTGTGTAACTCATGCTCACCAGTGAATGAGCCTCCAGCCAGCCTCATCCAGATGAGCTGTCAGTCACGCTAGACCGGACATAAATAACCCCAAAACATACCCTCTTTGAGGGCTGATATTTGCTGTACCTATGGTGTGTTGTTTTCAAAATGAGCACAAATACACTAATCAGAGTTAATTAATGACATCAGAACAACTTGTGAAAAAACACTGACTTAATATTTCACGAGAGAAGTTGAGGCTGTTTGATTTGGAGTCATTTGGAGATAGAGATTTTTTTTAAATCGGCTACTACCAACCCTCAGTGAAATTGAACTTTAAACCTTTAAAAAATCATTTAATGTCACTATTTCATTCGCAGCCAAGTAAAACATTTTCACACAACTTTGAAGTACTTAGTATTTTTAACATTTAATGAGTTGTGTCTCCCAGGATGCCTTGGCCTATTGGGAGTCAAAAGTCTTACCGCAGCAACAATTCGGCTCTACCAAGTAGAAAGCAACCACATAAAAAGCAACATTAAAAGTTGCCATTTTGTTTTTCCACTCTTTCAGAAAGGACAAGAAAAATGAGCAAACAATGCACCTAACTTCCTCTGTTTTTTATGGGATCTTTGGAAGCAGTTGAATGGCCTTTTCGTAGTGATGATACACAGATGGCCACAGCTTTTCTGATGTGAGATGATGGGGAGAACGTGCACTTTCCATTGTCAGTAAAAGCTGAGAAGTGATCCACTTTATCACACAGACATCAACCATGGGTCTTGGAGTTGTTGGTCCTTCGGTGCATCTGGTGGACACATTCTCAACTCTTTTCGTGAAAGGCCTTTCCTTCTTCTTTGCAGTGTGCAGAAATACATCTACAGCCTACAGCCTGAATGTCCTAACCATTTTGTTCAAAAGTGTAGAAAATATAAAGACAATTCAATGTTTTTTTTTTAGCCTTTATATGCCTGATATAAAGGTTTAAGTCTACTACAAATCATTATTATAAACAAGTAAACAAGGCTCTCTAAATAGTAGTGTTGTCTTCAAAAAATAGACTCGTATTTTCCTTTTAGTCGTAAGGTTAATATCAGTTATATCAGAATTAAGACCAGAAACACAACGTAACTGTTGTTGGTTATTATTGTCAGCCTACAAATTTCGTATCAGTGAGTTTTTAATAACAAACCTACTGTTATTAGAACACTTGCATGCATTCGCCCTTTGTGCTATACCTTCACTTTAGTTTTTCGTTCATGCCTCCTATTAAGCTTTCACATATACCCTGTGGAAATGCACAACACTATTCAGAAACTCTTGAGTTAAGTATTCAGTTCACTGATTATAAAAAGGTAACATAATTTATTCATCACCGCAGTACTTGGTGTAATATACTCAAAACAACCAATTCTCAAACAGCCAGCCCTGAGTGTGATGTAGTTAAAGTTATTTAGTCATACAGCACACTTCATTCACATAATAAATACTTCACTGGCAGCTAGTTGATGTTGCTCACTGTGAATACACTATTAATCTTTATTTAGCCAGTAAAACTAGGGGAACTTCCTGAGTTATAGCAGTAGCAAGAGAATAGCTACAATGCCATAGATGATGTTGACATTATATGTTTTTGAGCCAACAGCTACAAGCTAAGCATGCAGATGTGAAGATGGACTGTGACAAGGTCAAAAGAGGACTGATGGAGGTAAATACTCAGCAGCAGTATTGTTTATTTTAATCCCCTGTAGCTCCTCATTGAGATTTTTGGCACCTTTTGCACTTATACAACCCCATATCATCACATTCCCACCTCCATGCTTCACTGTCTGGACAGTACATTCACTGTGCTAGTCCTGACCGGGTTTATGTCAAACATGCTGGATCTCATCAACAACATTTTATTGGTCTCATGTGACCAAAGAATGTTCTCCTAATATTCATCAGGCTTCTTTCTATGATATTTGTCAACATTTCATCTTGCAGTTTTGTGCCAAAGAGCTAGCAAGAGGTTAACCTTATGCAATGTTCTTCCAATTTTCTTTTTTGTCAGAAAGTTACAATGTTAGCCACAGGTCATATGTTAATTATGTCATATGTTTGTGTATTTTTTAGGCTACAGAGCAATCAGACAAGCTGGACAGAGAGCTGAAGTCTTTTGAAGAGCTGGAGGGGCAGGCTGACAGTGGGTGAGTCATTAAATTCTCATTACACAATGAGTGTTTTTTGTTTAATTTTCCATTCCTTTTCCTCTTTTAAGACATCTCACTTGTCTTTAGATTTGTAGAGGAACCCTGAACCTCAAGTCAGAATTAAAAGCAGTCAATTTAAATGGCTTCTAGTAAAAATCTGAACCCTTGACCCCGACACTGAAGCTATATCCACACTAATCTATTTTTGTTTAAAAAGGCAAGTTCGTTCACATTTCCAAGTAAATACGACTTGTATGTGATCTGCTGTGTTAACCTTATATGACCCAAAAGTGTCCCGCATGCACAGAAGAGGACACAACAACGTCAAGCGTGCTCAGTGTTTACGGAAGTAAACACGGATGGTAACGGTGGCGGGGTAGTGGCCGCTTTTGCGGTGGCAGAAGTGTGATCCTAAACTGGCATCAGCAGCCAAGTACTGCCTGTGCCTTCCGGCCACTTCCTCCCCCGAATATTGGGATATTCATTATTTTTCAGACTATTCGGACCAGCCCTACTAGTTAAAATAAGAACTACAAACAATGAATATTAACAACAAATGACCTTTCAAGCATTAAGCCCTCCTTGTATCTCGACCTCCATCTCGACAATCCGACAGCCTTGCATATAAGAAGGTTTTTGCATTTGGTGTCGGATTATCGAGTCACGACTGTACTTGTTCAGACGAGCAATTTAACTCAGTTTTAGAAATACTGTCTGTGCATACCAATATGCCTGAAAACACATACCACATGACTACTTGCGTGATGTAAATTTGAAGCAGAGAGTTGATTGCTTAGAAGAAAATAGTACGATCGAAGAACATCAAAGATGAAAAGTAAGACCAGAGATTTCCTGACAACAAGGTCAGCAGCCCCTGTAACCTAATATGTTATCTGTTTTTACTGAACCACTAGTAGACTAAGCTGATGTTTGGTTTCTTCTGGAAAATGGTCACATGATAGGAGCATGACAAATCAGGAAACCAACATAGTGACAGTAAGGCGCAATCAGAGAGGAAACTTGTTTCTTCTGGATCTTTTCCAAAAGACTCAGTTGATGGATGTGCAGACTGAAAGGCAAGGGTGAGCGTTCAAGCTAAAATGGGGTCAGCAACATTTCCAAAAATCTTTGTTTGAAGGGTCCTACAAGTCCAGAGTAGTGTAGATGTTAGGGGTCTCATTTATCATCAGTGTGTAGAAAAGGTTCTAAATTGTGTCTTACGAATGAAATTTAGAATGTGCGTAAGTACAACAAAATCTGTCTTTATCAAACGTGCGTACGTGGGTCATACGCACATCAGTTAGTCATTAGTGTTGGTAAATCTCATTTAATCTCGTGCACTTTTGGGATCATTTGCCTTCAGAAACGCCTCCAATTAACCATATATGGCAACAACATGCTTCTTATAAAACAAGTGAATATTTTTTCCCCCTCACCTTTCATCATCATGGCAAAGAGAGTGACAAAGAGGAACTTTTCAGAAACCAAAATTGAGGGACTTGTCAGAAACATTTCTACACTCTGTAACACTCACCAATAAACCAGCCGTCTGCAACAGCTCCTGCTTGGAGACCCACAGAGCTGTTCTGCTCAATAAATGAGTGGTGTGTTCCTCCAGGCCACCAGGCAACAACGTTGGATAGTGACAAATGTGCATTGCAAATTATATGTACATTGATTGAATTAAACCCTTTTCTATTAACATAATTAAATTCATTTAGTGATGCTGCTTTGAATGCGATGTGGGTGCAGTCTGTGGCTCCACTTATGTCTGGGAGTCCAGCAATGGCGTGAAGTCCCCGTTTGATTTGGGCTCGTTGGTGATGGCTGTAAGGGAACTGGATGTAGGCTGGGGCCAGGGGAGTTATGGCATCCAACACTGCTAGCATGATCCTGCTCAGTGGTGGCCTGAAATGCTGCATATGTCTCCGCTACAGTCAGCTAGATGGACGTCTCAGCTTTTGATTGACACCTAGTTTGGCCAATAGGAGGGCTTTGGGGGTGAGTGACAGCCTGAAGGGCCAATGGAGTGTCTCAGACAGTCAACCCGGTACGCACAAGTCCCACCCTTGTAGATTCGACCAGTCGGGTTGCAGACACTCTCTGACACTGTAAACTTGTAGCCAATGAGCAGAAGAACACGTGGGTGTATGGGAAGGCAGGATTGTGTGTGTGTGGCGGTATCGGATCGGCCAGTTACCACTGTGAAGTAAATCATCCGATACCGTAATTTCGTCTAGTATCGGCCCGATACCGACCTTTATCCAATGATGAAACATTTCTGTCCTGGTGGAAGTGGTCTCTTCCAGGATTATAATGTTCCCATCAATCAGGCACGAGCCATCACTGAATGGTTTAAGAAGTATGAAAGTGATGTGAATCATATGCTGATCTCAGCCTGTTTGAATACCTGTGGGGGGTTTTGGAGAATCAATTCCAAAGCACACTGAAGCTCCTCTGGCAGTGCATGGTGGCTCAGTGCCTTACTAAGAAACACTGTGTTGGTTTTTTCCTTTAAATTATCCCCTTTCTATAAGTCATACTGTACATCAGCAAACAAACCACTGATCACCAGGAGAACCACATAGTATCATGAGGCAAGAAAGTCATGACATTTCAAGGACATATTGATTCATATTATTGAAAAGAAACAAGTTCACATCTAAGCCCACCGTTTTGTGTCAAAGTTGCCATAATACCAGAAAATATCATGCAATTTTAAAAAGCACAGTAAGAATAAACATTAATGCTGAACATTAATACCGTTTTTATCCATCCATCCATCCATTATCTATACAGCGCTTAATCCTCACTAGGGTCGCGGGGGGACTGGAGCCTATCCCAGCTGACTCAGGGCGAAGGCAGGGGACACCCTGGACAGGTCGCCAGTCTATCACAGGGCTACACTTAGAGACAGACAACCAAGCACACTCACATTCATACCTACGGACAATTTAGAATCACCAATTACTGTTAAATCTCCAGCATTGCCATTATAGCAATTTAAGGAAAAGATTTTGGTCAACTTCTAGTGGCAACTGGCAGGACTTACATCTGCACGGGCACACAACGCATTTCACTACGCATTATACTGTGTATAACTGTGTTTGTGACCAATAAAAGACCTTGAACCTTAAACCACAGAGAGAACATTGGGGTCTGTCTCAGTATCTGCACTTAGCCGCTAGGTAGTGCTCAAGTGTGTCCCATGACTGAAAAATAGAATAGAATAATAAAAAAAAAGAATAAAACTTTATTAAATTTATTTATTAAATGCCAACATGTAGGAAACTTCAGTTGCACTCAATACACACTTTCCTAATGCAGTTTCACAGGCAACTTTAACACTGAGTGTATCCCACAGTTCACCACACCAGTTGTTTGTGTGCCCAACAATAATCACACAACATGAAGAAGTTGATTTGTTCTGTACTGTACTTGTTGCGACATGTACGGTGTTATTCATTTCCAAACAAAATGCAGATACCGTAGAAACTCCACAGACATCATATTGGTAATATATGCTTCTTAATGAGACTGATGAGAATATTATCTATCTGATGTTTCCAAATGAAGTGCAATAGCTGCTAATTTAATTAGTTGATTGACTGAACAGCAATCTCCAAATATTTAAAAAAAATCCTTTAGCCTTTCATCTTTTGGTTGCTGCTGAAATGCATGAGGTCAGTGGCAGGGATGAAATCTGGGACCTTTGATTTGTAATACAGCCTTACAATGTTCTGCTCTGTTTGACAGCCTGCTGGAAAAGCTGAGGGCTCTGGTGACAATGAATGAGAACTTGAAGCAGCAGGAGCAAGAGTTCCGCACACACTGCAGGGTGAGTGTATTAACATACACTTTGACTGTGCATGTCTTGTTGATGGTAATTGGTATACATTTTTTCTTTGATTTGTGTATTTTGTGTCCAGGAAGAGATGACCCGTCTGCAGCTGAACATTCAAGAGTTGAAGTTGGCATCAGGACATGATACAGAGGAGGAGAAGGTGCATATATTCTGAATTTACTACTGGAAGTAGAGGAACACATTATTGCGTTTCTCAAGATTTTAAGTGGCTTTTTCTCCCTCAGATTAAACTTCTGCCCCACAATTTGCACCTCATTTTCTTTTCTCAGGAGAGGAACCAGCTGATAGACAAACAGTACAACACAGACAGAGAGAAACTACAGAAGATTCGTCTGCTCATGGTAACTGCTTCATACAACAGAAAACACGATTAGATAAAACCATTAGTTGTGTCACAGCAGCATATAACAGACCACAGATAAGAACAAAACAAATTGAGAGTACTGAAAATATACCAAGACATAAACAACCTTATTATTATTACCAGTATCAGGTACAAAGAGTAACTTCACTGTATTAATCTCGTAGTTTTTCTTTCTTTCTCACTGGTTTATATATGTTATGTAGACAAAGTATGCAATTTGGAAAGAATTTAATAGTTGTATGAGTTATAGTATTAGTTGGTTGCACCTGTGTTAAATTAGGTGAGTTACATTAAAGCGGGTGGATACTTATGTAATAACTTATTTTATCTGACATTAACTGACATTACTATGTAAACGTCCATTTGTTTGGAAACGCAAAAACATG